CATCAATTTTGAATTTTTATCTCTTCTGTGGGGTCCAATAACGATTATATTTTTCATTCTCATTCTACAATAATGAGAATCAAACGTGCCCCAAGCCTTTGTTTGACAACCATTATTTTGAGAAAATTGAATTTTGAATAATGATTTTTGAAGAATGTATGGTTAAAAAGACAGTAAAATTTTTGAATTTACATACAAAATATTTTAGTGTAAATATCTTGTTAAAAATGAGTATGCGAATTAAAAGATTTTGAAATAATGATTACCAAACCTGGGCTAATAATTAATTGACTGTAACCAAATATTGGATATTGCTTTTACTATACAAAAAACATATGCACTAGTGGAAGGCAACAGCTACCGGAGCATGCGTTGGGTGTCTAGTAAAAGCTCCATGCACAAGGATATCTAATTTTGTGTTTAGAACTTAGAAAAAAACATTAGTTAAAGAAGCTCATATTTCGACTTTAATTGATATGAATTGAGTTTTTTGTTGCTTAATCTTTTTTTTTTTTCCCTGATTTTCAGGAGATGTTCACCGCAGGGACCGACACCACCACTAGTACACTAGAGTGGGCAATGGCGGAGCTCCTCCACAACCCCGCCACGCTTCAAAAAGTTCAGGCTGAGCTAAGAACCCTAACTGACGGCGGAGAGAAGATTGAAGAGGAAAACCTTAATAAACTCCCATACCTTAACGCCGTCATCAAGGAGACGTTAAGGTTACACCCACCTCTCCCTTTCTTAGTCCCTCATATGGCTATGGACTCATGCAAAATGTTTGGCTATTTTATTCCCGAAGAGACCCAAATTCTTGTAAATGTCTGGGCCATTGGGAGGGATCCGAAAACTTGGAAAGACCCGTTGGAATTTAAACCCGAACGGTTTTTGGAGCCAAATATGGTGGATTACAAAGGGCAGCATTTTGAGTTTATACCATTCGGATCTGGCCGGCGTATGTGCCCGGCGGTGCCGTTGGTGGCTCGGGTGCTGCCCTTGGCTTTAGGCTCGATTTTGCATTCATTAGATTGGGTTTTAGCCAATGGACTGAAAGCAGAAGAAATGGATATGAGTGAAAGAATGGGGATAACTTTGAGGAAAGCTATTCCATTGAAGGCAATTCCAGTACCGTACAAGGGATGACAATATAAATGTGTGCGGTGTATTAATGTGTGAATTAATTTCAATGCTAAGATTTTCGTGATGTTAAAAACTGAATTTAAATAAATAAATATCTTATTGTAAGTGTTATGTTCTAAATCAAATCGATTTTAAACATAAATACATTTAATATATCATTGATGTACCTTATTGGCATGTCTATTATTTGATTGAATTAATATTCTAATAAATTAAATAATAAAATTCGTAGATTCAAATATTAATAATTTGTTAATAATAAGGAGTTGTAATTGTGATTTACAAATTACATATGGTCGAATATTAAATTATCCATGATCACGAGTAATAATAACGAGATACGAATATCATTATTACGATTAGATTATCACATGCGGTATTTTTCACTTTTGAAGTGAGTAGCTAATTTCACAAACTAAAATATAGTGACATTTAGGGCTTTTTTGGCACCCATTTTTTTGAAGAAT